AAGCTACCTTTTGGCTTAAAGGATCAAGCTTGGTAGTCCTATTCGTGTCTTGCTCAAGTCAGAACCTTGGTGCTGTGTAGAGTGTCCCTTGTGTGCCTCATTTTCGGAGTTTTGATGCCTTGGAGGTATAACATGAACACTCTTTGTCATTTTGAGGTTTAAAGCTTGTTTAATCAACTAAAAAGAGGAACTTTAACCATTTGAGTAAAGGAATGTGTTTCTGGGTTCATAGCGTGTTGGGTTATATCTGTTTAGGGATTCATTGGACTCTCAATCGCTTTTGGACCTTTAAATTTGAGATTATGCAGAAGTTGGCTCGAATTTCTGCATCCTGTTGAAGAAGTATTCAAATATTTTTCGTGTAGTATTCGAATACTTGTTTATGGTAATCGAATACTCCTTGGAGGAGTATTGGAATACTTTTCTGGGAAGAGAAGTATTCGGATACCTTTGAAGAAATATTCGAATACTGGAAAGTATTTGAATACAGTAAGGTTTGGTATTCGGATACTGAGGTATTCGGATACTGAGGGGGGAGTATTCGGATACTTGCGAGTATTCGAATACTTTAATGGAAGTAATCGAATACTTTCTGGAGACAGGGAGTATTCGAATACTCATTGAGGAGTATTCGAATACTCATCGAGGTGTATTCGAATACCTCCTGCAGAAAATGCATAAAACGACTTATAATGAGATGGAAAGCCTTAATCACTTAATGTAACCTTGATAGATGGTTATTGATGATTACTTACTGTATAAACAGATTATGATTGTACTGTTTGCGGGCTTTGAGCTAGTGTGGACTCTTGGCTTGGATAGTTAGCTTGCAAGGTAAGCTTTCGTGTCCTCGGTTTAGCCATGTTGTGGTTCCACCATGTCCCATGGGGGTATGGTATATGCATGTTGTGTTACATGCTTTTGATGTTTTGGAAATGCTGTTGAGCTATTGTATGTTAGTGCCTTGTTGATATGCATGGAGGTGTTCCACCTATACGGTAAGCCTGAGTATGTAGAACATACAATATGGTGAGGCTGTGGGTGAGGTGCAAGTGGTGTTCCTTGTACTACATGCAGGTATAGACGTATTCCTACATTTCTCTGGCCAGTAGATAGTGATAAACACACATGCCATAGATATCTGTTGCACTACATAGTTTTGGAACTGATAATGATATAAATGCTTTTAGAACTTATATTGCACATGTAAGTGAGCTTGGGGTGGAAGATCCTTGAGGACCCCTTGTCTTACTGAGATTTCTTGTTTAGAGATCTCACCCCACGTTTGGGGAATGCTTATTTCAGGATCAGGTAATGTTGAGACCTCAGGCGGCAGGAGGCCGGAGCTGAGTTAGATTTGCTGTTATATATGCTGACATGTTGGATGCTGTATTTGCATGCTGCTTATATGCTTATAGCTTCAGTTCATGTTTATGGAGTTTTATGTTAAGACTTGTTGTTTACGCTGTTATTTGGTGAGCATGGGGTTTGTCCATGACACATAGTATTGTTTCGTCTTGAGTCTTTTGGGAGTTGTAATAATGTATCAGGATATTGTCCGGATTACGAGATGTAATGTCGTGATTTAGATACACACTTTATTTAAATATTGAGGTATTTCAGTAGATGTCTTATTGCAATTTACATACAGGCGATATTTTATAAAATTGATTAAGTAATCAAGATGGTAATTGATAATGACGTCGTAATTGAAAAGAAAAAGAATATTCCGCATTTTTAATTAAGCACCGCTTAATACGATGTAATGATAACACTACCGGATATATACGGGGTGTTACAAGGTGTTATAGTTGTGAATTAGCCTGAGGTGACATTTATTCAAAATCTCTAACACAATGGTGGGAATCATATGAGTTTGAGCATCCAGAGCTCCAATCATTTGCAATGCATATCTTAAGCTTCACATGTAGTTCCTTTGGTTGTGAGAGGAATAGGAGTACCTTTGAGGTTGTAAATTTTATTTAATATGTAAATTTTCTTTGCCATATATTTAAAATTACAAACCTAATTGTTGTATATTAATTGGGTTTGTTTTTGTTTAGGTCCACTCAAAAAGAAGAAACCGCATGAAACAAAAGACAATGAATGATGTTGTGTTTGTGATGACAAATTCAAAGTTGGCCAAGAAGAAGCAAGTTAGAATTTTTTTTTGAATATAACATTCATGATGTTTCATCCGAAGATGAATGGATTGTGGAAAATAAAGGAACTTCATCTAATGTTGAAGGTTTAGATGAAGACAATTTAGATCTGGAATTGGATGCTCTAATTGATGAAGACTTGGCTCAAGTTGGAGGAAAGGATGACATTGGTGTTGCTGGTGCCTCTGTAGATGATATGGTGATTCTTGATTTTGAGTTTGACAATGAGGTTGATGGAAGAGGAAGAGAAGATGACATGCCTATACGTCGTGATATAGTTGAAGATCATGTGGAACATAATGTCTTTGATGATAATGATTTGAATGATTTATTAGCTTAGAGTGTGATACTTATTTAAATTATAGTTGGATAATGAGTGGTACTAATTGGGACTATTTTGATTTAAATTATATTTGTATTTTGGACTATATTAAGGTTGTTTGCCTTTGTTTGATTAGTATTTGACGATAATGTTGGAAAATATTGTTGATTGATATTGGATTGGATTTTGATAGTAATGTTGCCTTCGATGATGGATTGATATTATATCCTTAATGACAATGTCATAATGCTGGAAAATAGTGCTAATTGGTATTGTATTGATATTCGATTTGTTTGTTTGTTGATTTTATAAATGGATTAGTATTTGATAAGTTTAAAGTTGTATTTGATGCACCCTAAGATTGCATGCAAATGTATATGTATGGTGGCAGGTGACCTATTTTTCTTAATTATATATATATATATATGCAATATGTATATAAAATTTAATTTTAGAATATAGTTAAAATCTACGTTTTGTATTACGATTTTACATTTTTACATTCGCATTTTGTTTTTAGGTAAAAACTCATTTTTGACAACCTTGGTCATACCTTCCTCTGAGGAAGTACATATCCTAGTGATTCCAAAGTATCTCGTCAGCTTTGCTTTATAACAGAGCTACAAAAAAGAAAAAGAAAAAGAAAAATATTACATGTTCATATAATAGAAGAACAACTTGAGAAGATGAAGAAGATAAACCGACAAATAAGAGAAGAAACATGTGCACAAAAGCTAATTACCAAATGAAAAGATCCGCTAACACATATCCTATTTATACACGAAATAATTTTATTTTTTAATATTTAAGCCCAATAATGGGATATTAATAGGACTAACAATTACCCATGCAGAAAGTGGTGGGATATTAATGATGAACTCTTTTCTCACCTTCAGGTTTAAATTTCAAATTTGAATACTGTCTATAGTAAAACACTAACAAATTATATTAAATTTTGTCGCCTACAAGTAGAAAGTAGTGTGACATTGATACAGTTGTCTGCCATTAACAAATTTTAATAAATTTTGCTGCTTATATGAAGTTGAATTTTCAATAATTTCCAATTAAAATTTTTACAATTTCAATGTAGAAATGATAGTGGGACATTAATTTGATTCTAAAACCAACAATTTAATTTCGAATTTATATTTATTTAAAACTAAATATTTATTTATTTTTAAAAATGGCATGCAAGTATGAACATTTAGTGTGAACACAAAGTTAAAATTGAAGGAAAGCTTGACACGTCATCTTTTTTTTGTTCTCCTTTAAGATATTAATAGATTTTCCTATATCAAACACCTCCTCAATAACAACTTTATTAAATTATCACAGAGTTTTTACCTTTATTTTTTAAACTTTTAAATTAAAAATAGCTTTTAGATTAAAACAAAATTGTCCGAAACATGCTCTTAATATTAATTAAGAAATGAGAAAGGATATTTTAACAACCAATTAGTGTTATTACCAATTAATTTTATCGTTAAATTGATTATGTTGATCCAACAGTTATATTTATTTTTATCTTTGTATAATTATGATTCTCCATATTTAATACTTTATATTTATTTTCATCTTTGTAGGGTTATGATTTCCCATATTTAATGCTTTCACATTAAATATGGGAAATTATAACCATACAAACATGAAAATAAATATAACTATTGGATCAACATAATCGATCTAACGGTAAAATTGATTGATAATAATATTAATAATAACATTAATTAATTGTTATAATATCCTATTCTTAAGAAATTTCGAGTAAAAATCTTCTTTAAATAAAACAAAAATATTAATTTAATATAACCTATGTAGCACCGATACGACACGCGACACGTGACACGATACGACACGACACTCCGACACGTCAATCCTAAAAAATTATGGATTTCGACACGTTGGGACACGTTTTAATATTAAATAATATTTTTAATTTATATAGTGTATATTTCATTTAATATTTAATAATTTAAAAAAAATGAAACTAAATTAATAATACCTATCAACACGTTATAAAGATGGAAGCTTTAATAAAAAAAATAAGAACTGGGATGAGAGAGGGATATAATATCAGATAGAGAGATCAAATCATATTAGAGAGAGATCAGAGAGAAGAAGATACAACAAGAGCGTGATAGAAATTGACAACAATGATGCTGAGATGATCTCTTATCTACTTAAGGGGAAAAAAGACAAAAAGATAAAATTGATATGATCAGGTGGAAGCTTTATTAATATATTTTAACTTTTAAAAAAAATATAATTTTTTTAAAAAAAAATTAAAAAAAATTACGAAAATGCCATTTGACCGTGTCCGACACGGTCAAATTCGAGTGTCGGAATGGTCAACGTGTCGAAAAAAGTCAACCGCATGTCCGACACCGTGTCGGAGCTGTCGTCGTGTCGAAGCGTGTCGGATCCGACTCTTCCTATTTTTACAAGTGTCCGTTCCTTGAATATAACATCTGTTAAACTGAATGTATAGAAAAATTTGAATAATGGAAATGGGAACTGGTAGCCACCAACCACCCATCCTCTCAGATCTAACTTGGCTTAACATTTGTACCTATAAATAACCAGAATACCGCTGCTTCCATTGCGCGCTTAGCCCTCTCTCTCCCTACCTCACAACTTGTGTCCAAAAGGTATGACGTTTCCTTATGTCGCTCTCTTTCGTTCATTCAAACCTCATTATTGTTCTTATAGTCCTTTCAAAGTCTTGGATCTTCGTTTTCCGTATTTGAATCCGTATTTAATGTTAGCATTTATTTACACTTAAAATAAAATTGTTCATAATTCTGATCTATAACCTACAACTCTCCAAATTTCTGAGTAATTCTTCGCGGATTTGCTTATAACTGTTTTTGGGCTGAGATCTACTACCTTCAGGCACTTTATATTTCGCTTATGATATATATATATTATATTAACCTTCATGTTTGAACTGAAATTGACATGAATTTGAGTTAGTTAATTGTTGGATCTAGCTGATAAACTGTTTTTGTTGGTTATTGGCTTCAGGATTTTTAAAAAAACAAAAGAGAAAAAGTGTAAAAATAATAAGAAATGAAGGTGATAGAGAAAATACGAGCTGCTGCAGCGGCTGATCCGAATAGAGTGGTGTTCTCATTCGAGTTTTTCCCACCAAAGACTGAAGATGGTGTGGATAATCTATTTGAGAGGATGGACCGCATGGTGGCTCATAATCCTTCATTTTGTGATATCACTTGGGGTGCTGGAGGATCAACGGCTGATCTAACATTGGAAATTGCAAACAAGATGCAGAATATTGTGTGTGTTGAAACCATGATGCACCTCACTTGCACAAACATGCCTGTTGAGAAGATTGACCATGCTCTTCAGACTATCAAGTCTAATGGGTTACAGAATGTGCTTGCTCTTCGAGGCGATCCCCCACATGGTCAGGACAAATTTGTTCAGACCGAAGGTGGCTTTGCCTGCGCCCGCGACCTGGTACACCTTCTCTAGTCCTCCTGTTTTGCAGGGAGGTTATACTTACAACCTCTGACATCTATTTTCTTTATCGTTGAATCAAAAAATCAAATTAACGGTTATAAAATGACAGTGAATGGAAGCCATTAGTTATAATCGTTAAGTTGATTTTGATCTAAGGTAAAGAAGTGGTTGTAAGGAAAAAAGGTTGTGTGGATAACCTACCTCTCTGATATGAATAAATGAATAATTTGTCTATAGAATTAGTTGCTAGCATGACAATTTCTATATGATATCATGCGTTATCTCATGCTCTATTTTTCCCTCTGCCAACTCTTTGGTTCATTATTTATAAATACAAGAAAAATTGGAATTGAACAAGTCTATAGTTCTAGGACTCCATTTGTTTTTGTGGAGAATGAATGACATGACTTTGATAAATATATTTTTGTTCAGCTGTTTTCTTAGATAATATCTTTCATGAAAACCTTTGATTAGAAAAGCTTTTCAATTGTTAACAGACATACTCTATTATAAATATTTAATGTCTGTGATGCGACTTTAAAATTTGTGAGGGACTAACTTCACGGACAAATCAAGAAGAACAGAGAAATGGGGTCAAGTAGGGGAAAGATTCTGAAATGTGAATGATGTTTCTGTGTTATTGAATTCAGAAAGTGTACAAGAGGAAACTCTCGGCAATGTCCCGGTCTAGATATAAAATGATCAAATCCTCTCTACATTGACTAGCCACCCTTTTATATCCTACACCAGACTTCTAGATTAAACTTGTAACCCACTAACTAGCTGACATACCTTTCTAACTGTCCACGTGTCACTAACTGAACTGCAGTTGCTAAATCTCCTAATTCTATGCATTCAGTTTATTCCTCCTTTGAAATACCTTCCAAACAGCTGGCTGGTCCCTGTTTGATAGTCTATTCGTAACAATCTGATGTGTTTTGCCAATTTACTTCTAAAAAGGATATGCTATTTTCCTCTTATTGAGGAGATATTTTTAGTTGCATTGGGGGAATTTTCAAATGATTACTGCTGCCAACATAGGAGAATTATGAAAAACCTGAAGATGCAAAGAATGAATGCCTTTTTAAAACCAAACTTTCAAAAGTGTAAACAACATTTTCTGATAAGTTATGGAACATTATATTGCATTCTTACTGATGATAAAACCTAAAGCTTAGTTTCATAAATAATTTGATACTAGCTGTTGATCTTGTTAGGCCACTTGTGTGGTCTCGTGTCTTGATTTTGTGTATGCTGATGTTTTTGCAGGTGAAACATATCAGAGACCAATATGGTGACTACTTTGGCATTACAATTGCTGGTTATCCAGGTTTCTTGCCTTTCATTTCATCATTTTCAACTTTGTTATCATTTTCTATCATGTGCTTTTCTGCCCCTTCTTGCCACTATCATTTGCTCTTAAAAATCTATTTTGTTTCTCTTCAGAGGCACATCCAGATGTCATAGGAAGTGATGGATTGGCTCCAGTGGAAGGTTATCAAAATGATCTTGCTTACCTGAAGAGCAAGGTCTTGTCGCTAAATTAGAATCCACCCATATTGTGCCTTAAAAGTTTTATTCATTATCAGTTCTAGAATACAGGATAGAGAATTCTTTTAATCTGTGACTAGCATTCTTGAACAAGTAGGAAAAGAAAAAGCTTAATGAGAAATGCTGCATTCATTGATAAACATGGCTTTTCTTCTTCTTGTTCTCTTTAAAAAATAAAAAATAAAAAATAAAAAAATGAAAAGTAAACAGGCGGAGGTGAACGGAAGGCAAGGGGGATGTTGCTGGGAATTTGTTGTTCATCTTTCTTCCTTTAATTTGTCCTCCGATTCTGAGTTTATGTTCTTTTTATAGGTTGACGCTGGCGCAGATCTGATTGTCACCCAGTTATTTTATGATACGGATATTTTCCTCAAATTTGTGAATGACTGTCGCCAAATCGGAATAACTTGTCCTATTGTGCCTGGAATTATGCCCATTAATAATTACAAGGGCTTTTTCCGCATGACTGGTTTTTGTAAAACAAAGGTAAGCAAAAATTGTTGTGTAGACCTTCTCGTATTAAATATTTTAAATGTCTAATAATCTCAAGGAACTTGGGGTGTCTCAAGAAGGCATAAAAGTCACTTGGATGTTAAACATTGATGTCTCTGTCTACATGCATGCTGGAAAAAAAATATCAGTTCTGCCTTTTCGAGCTTGAAAATATTAATAATAATCAGATTTTGGCAAGTTTATAAAACTGAAGACCATTTCCATTCAGTTCTCGAAAGTTGACATAAGTTTGTGAATGAAAGTTCTCAAACTAATGTCTATTATATGTTTACTTTTTACCAATTTGTTATATTAGTCAACTGTCATGGGCTCTAATATAATGTTTCATTTTTAAATGAAATAATCTAGATACCTGCTGAAATTATTGCTGCTTTAGAGCCTATCAAGGACAATGAAGAAGCTGTAAAGTCTTATGGAATTCACCTGGGAACTGAAATGTGCAAAAAGATTTTAGCTCATGGAATCAAGACATTGCATATTTATACGCTAAATATGGAGAAATCAGCATTAGGAATACTGATGGTTGGCTCTCCTGTTTCACGAGATTTTCTGGCTTGTTATATGCATATTTTTAATATTATTTTTCTTATGACTTCACTTAATTGAAAGTTGCTATTAATGTTATTGCTGGCAGAATCTTGGCTTAATCGAAGAGTCCAAAATTTCTAGGTCCTTACCTTGGAGACGCCCTACAAATGTTTTCCGCATTAAAGAAGATGTTCGTCCAATCTTTTGGTATGTTACTGTTGCAATTGCTATTTCTTGTTCCAAAATATAAGAGGGCTGTTTGTGTTTGTTTGAAGTATTTCTTACTCTCTTTATCCAACTATCATAGGGCAAATCGTCCAAAAAGCTACATATCAAGGACCATAGGATGGGACCAATACCCACATGGGCGTTGGGGTGATTCCGGTAATCCATCATATGGCGGATTAAGTGATTATCAGGTGCAAATAATCACTTAGTGATTTTAATTAGTGGGTGTTTGTCTTTTATTTTCTTTCATTGGTGGTATAAAATTCTTTACACAGTTAACAGTATAGGCAAGATTAAAAATTAAGTGATACAAGTTATTTGGATTACCTGGTTGCAATATGCTTTCCTTGATTTGGGACATTTGTTTTAATCTATTTTATTGTATAAAGGATGCCACTCATGATTCAGCCAGATATGATTCCATTGCAGGTTGAGCAATTTGTAGAAACTGAAACTGCTAATTATCGAATCCAAATGTAGAAAATATTGTAGCAATTAATCTTATAGGAAGCATGTATCCTTTAAGAAGCATCAACTCTGTTTTCTCGTACAATGAATAGGTTAATATGAAGGCTGTTGGGTGTCTGACAATGAAAAACATGGGTTTGGCTGGCAGACTATGTCAAGTGTGATCAGGAAGATGTATAAACCCTTAATTTTGGAAAAAGGAATAGAATATTGGAAGGAAGGAGATATGCGAAGACTAATAACTTTGTGAATGGCATAAAATAAAAGGAAAAGAAAATAAGGACATGAAACACCGATAGAAATTGCCTCTAGAATTGGGTTTGAATCTTTATTGATAAATTCGAATTGGAAATGGGAATCAAATATTGTATCCTTATTGATAATTCCTCCCTCAGAGAACAAACGAGTTTCCTGATTAGTGAGGTAGAAAATTATAATGATAACTATCCCAACCTCTAGAGAAATCCTAGTCTATGGCCTTGCCTCTCTTACTAACTGTCTAACTACCTTACATGTATTCCCTCAACCCTATTTATAATCCTAATGATCTAACTAACTGAAACTGGCCCATATGGCTCTTTGGGCCCTTCATTTTTCCGTTTAACCTATTTTCCTAAATTAGGGTTCCTAACACACTACATTTTAGCTTTTCGAAATTGATAAGTTTTATAGTTCTGCTGCTGCTATAATTGATCACGTGCCATGCAATTCATTTTTCTTGCAGTTCATGCGGCCACGTGCACGGGACAAGAAGCTTATTGAAGAATGGGCTGTTCCCTTGAAAAGTATTGAAGATATTTATGAGGTAGAGTTACTGTACTTGTAATATTGCTAGTGTTCTCACCAACACTTCAACTTCAACTAAATTTGTGCTCATTGTTACATGTCAGAGATTTAAAATGTATTGCCTTGGAAAGTTGAAAAGCAATCCTTGGTCAGAACTAGATGGTCTTCAGCCAGAGACAAAGATCATAAATGAGCAGCTGGAGAAGATCAACATGAAGGGCTTCCTCACCATCAATAGCCAGCCGGCGGTCAATGGGGAAAAGTCAGATTCTCCTACTGTAGGTGGGTGTAAAAGTTGTTGATTTGTATCCTTGCATGATTTTTTCTGAATGTAGGATTAGAGCATTACAATTTGGTATACAACCACAAGTGGGTAATTTGTAATTTCTCTTTATAGTTCCTTTTTTTCCCCATGTTTTCTGTTGGTAAAAGTTACATTACATTAAAAGTGATGCTTGGCCTTTTGAACAGACATATCATTGGTATGGTGTCTTGCAGATCAATTCAAATTGTTATTGCCTACACTATTTTTAAGCTGATCAAGAAAGAGACTATTCTTAAATTACCAAATTTCTGTTGGCCATATATAACTCTTTAAGAGGGGAAGGGTTTTGTTTCAATTTTTTAATCAGGAGTCTTAAGTGAGATGTGGCTATACCACCACTTCATTTTGCCTTCACTTTAATGTAAAATGAAAAATACTGAAAACAACATAGATGATAATGTCCATTGCAATTATGATTGAGGTATTGGTTTCTTATCCATATTGGTGGATATGAGATACACTAAATCTTTTGTTTTGATATATGGTAGGCTGGGGTGGACCTGGTGGGTATGTTTATCAGAAGGCATATGTGGAGTTCTTCTGCTCTAAGGAAAAGCTGGATGCACTTGTTGAAAAATGCAAGGGTCGATCATCTCTAACCTATATGGCTGTGAATAAAGAAGGGAGTTGGAAATCTAATGTGGGCCAAACTGATGTGAATGCTGTGACATGGGGGGTCTTCCCAGCTAAGGAGATAATACAACCAACCATCGTAGATCCTGTCAGCTTCCATGTATGGAAGGATGAGGCATTTGAAATTTGGTCAAGAGGATGGGCATCCTTGTACCCCGAGGGTGATGCATCCAGGAAATTGGTTGAAGAGGTTGGTATATAAACCTACGCACCCATAAAACCTTGAACACCATCTTATAAACAGAAATACTTTGTCTTCTTATAAACACCGTCTTCTTATACCCAATATCAGCCGTTGATTCCACTTGCATCTAATACCTCACATGACTAATAAGTTAGCCATTAGATATAAGTGAAATCAACGACTAAGATTGTGTGTAATGCTTAAAGCATCTTGTCCCTAATTATATATCTTTGGCCTTGGATGCTTAGAGCTTTGATAATTCTATTTGTGTCACAGGTGGGGGGAAGCTACTTCTTGGTCAGCTTGGTCGACAATGACTACGTTAGCGGCGATCTTTTTGCTGTGTTTGCAGATTTCTGAACGAGCTTCTGCATATATTAGTGTTTTGAACTCTGCCAGTTCTGTTGCTTGTCAACCTTTTTCCTTTCTTTTATTTTTTTCTCAACATGATGATTCAAATTACATAGATGGTTCTAAGTTGGAGTGACAATTGAATTGTCTGGACTATATCACTATCATTCTTCGGAGTTACAGGAGTATTATGTCGTTTCATGAAGTCACCTGTACGTTAGACAAGTTGCTCATTCCTCTGAATTTGATGGTTGTAGGAGACTCAATTTATATTTCTAAATATATGTAAGAGTGAAAGTAGAAGTAGAAGATTGAAATCTCGTGTCTTGTGTTTGCTAAGATGAAGGCCTAACCTTCAAGCTAGCAGGGCCTCTTTTTTCTCATTATTTCTTTCTCTCAAACCTCGTCCTGTCTTGAAGAGAAATATCAAATATATTGCTATTACTAATTATATGATCACCTCACTTCAGCGAATTAGAAATTTTTATTAATCCTATCTAAAAATTTAGGAACAGATCATACAAGATATGGCTATATGGGTTGAAAGTTGAAACTTATCAAATGGCATCAATACAAGCAACTTCAGTATTTCATTCGCACCAGGTTGACTGTCAGTCCAGACTTTAAGCGCTATGTGCTTCTGAAATGTAAAGATTAAATTTATATTTAAACATCAAATTTTTTAGCACAAGCACTTCAGTGTCCCTACGAAACGCTTTTAACGTGAGGGCTTATTGTATGCATAAGGACGTGAGAGATTGCTATACTATACTACTTGGGACTTCAACCTTTGCATATTAATTTTAGAAGCTATATTATTAAAGTGATATTAATTTTGTTGTTTATTTAGGGCTTATAACTTTGCAATTAAGATTTTTGACTGGGGATTATTTATTATTATTTTTGTATTTTATTTTATTTTATTTAAAATTGTATTATTTTACTTAGATAGGAACATCTTATTAGGGCATTTGAGAATGTTTGTTAGTAGAAAGATTTAAGATGTTTTCCGTTCAAGCAAGATCTTGGGTTCAAGTTCTTGTGAATGCAAAAAAAAATTTTTGGGAGAGCTAGTTCTACCATGATGTGAATGTTCCCGACTCGAATGAGATTGTCTTCCGTGAAAACACATATGGTTTAAAAAAAAATGATACCGAGAATAGTTGATCATGAATTTGAGAACTAACACTTTTATGGTTGAATATTTAAGAAAAAAAAATTATTTTAATGGTTTAAAAAATTTAATTTAACGTTTACATACTATGATATACTTATAATTGGTTAATTATGAAAATGAATGTATATATGGGAAAAATTTTAGTGCTCCAGATCCCACGTGATCCTTCTGTTCAGGAGGTGATACTTAGACACAAATTTATTTTTATTTCTTCTTTCTCTTCTTTCCTTATTAGTTGTCTGATTTTGATGGATTCGAATTACTGAGTTAATAATGGTCTAGGACCAGTGAAATTCTTCTCGTATATATGGTTCATGTTAGCAATGATGCTAACATATAATAGATATTATTGGTCAACCATAATTATAGGTTGGGAGCCTATCTAGACATGAGGCCTATTATTAATTTATTCTGGGTGGGGAATGTAAGTGTGGTGTCTGAGATTGATATGGTTCTAAGAACTTACAAAGGTTGGGCTTGAGATTAATATGGGGAGTGAACTTGCTTAGGCTGGGCCTGTTGTAGTTATATCATAGTATGCTTCACTTCAACATGTATATAATTTCATGAAAGTGTAAGTTTATTGAGAAAAATATTTGTACTTTTAAATGACATAATTTGTGTATTTTACTCTTACAAAGAGGTGAGATCCATATTTTTATTTTTTTTATCCACTCTCTCTCTCCTATAATCTATCTCTTTCTTTTATTTAAAATGACACAATTTTACATCTTTTAAAATGATACACATTTTTCTCAGTGTATATATAAATTAATTTGAACTGGGTGTGTGTAATGGTAGTGAGACGCTAGGGTTTTAGAAGTATGTAACAAGAGCATGTAACTTCCTATATATAGGTAGATGTTTGGGTAAGAGAAATCTTTTTGAGTGGATAAAGCCTTTTATCTATTAATTTATATTTGGGAAAAATATTTATTATGTTACAGGAAATAAAGTTATCTCTACAATTCCAAAACTATTTCATTTTGAGAGTTAGAGGAATTAATGAAGGATATTTTTATAATTATATTTTTTTATTATATGAATTTTACCAAAACACACTTCATTAATTCCTCTAACTCTCCAAATATCGTAATTTTCAATGTTATTAAAATTGGCCCGGTCGAGATACTGAGTCAGTGGGTCACTGGTTCAATCGCATGACCCGGTAATTATATGTAATTTTATAATTTATATTAAAAAATTATAAACATACTCAAATATCTAAAAAAAATGATAAAAATTTCAAATATATTGATATAAAAATTAATAAATCACATATTATTATCCAATAAAAGATCAAACAAAAATATAATGATCGCGATACGGAGCTTTAGGTTCAGAAAGGTACATGTCTAACTATAAATTAATTCAAAAATTTTTGCATAGTACATAGTTGAGATAATATTAGTGTTGTATGTACATAACTTATGTAAGTCAATAAACAAAGAAATATTCAAATATGTCCATTATGATTTTTTTTGAAAAAAAAAATTTAGAATTAATTTTTTTTTTACCGGGCCGGGTCACCGGTTTTTTATGAAAACCGGCCGGGTCGGACCGAGTCGCATGCATGGCCGGTCCGTTGCTTCAATCGGACCAGTTATATGACCGGTTTACCGGTTCCCGGGTCGATCCGGCCAGGTCGACCCGGTTTTAATAACTATGGTAATTTTAGAATTGCAGGAAATAACTTTATTTCTTGTGGTAGTTGAAACAAAAAAAACCCTTTATATTTAAATATCTTTTGAGTTTGTGCGTATATACTGATACAGAACATAATGTGTATCTAATAGATTATATTTAGAGGTTGTTTAAGTTTTTCATTTTTTAAATTTAATATTGGAGATATTGTTTCTAATATTATATAAGATAATTTATCTTATGCTATATACAAAAAAGTAAATGAGATCAATTAAGAAAAAAAAAACAAATCACCCACTTTTTTATATGTTTCATCGTACAAATTTGAGAAACAATATTTCCTTTAGTTTGGTATAGGAGAACTTTTTTTTTATCCGGGAATCTCGATTTTCAGAAATATGATTTTTACATTCAGTTTATGAAAATATCCAAAATTTAAAAATTCAAAAAAATTCAATTTTTCACGAATCTTAAAAAATACCGCATACCAAACATCTCCTAAATTGGGGAGGGGGGTGGTACAGCGAAATGAATAAATAAACAAATAAAGGGAGGAAGTTCACTATTTTCTCAAAAGAAAAAAGTGGATGCCAAAACCTTTTTGGGCCGAATGAAAATCAATCATTCTCAGCACAACAACCCAATTTTGCTATCAAATAACTATCATCATCTCCATCAGAGAGGAGTATTTTGGGAGAAAGGAGGTGCGAGTGCAGGTATGTTATTTCCCTTCTTCTTTCTTTTGAGATCAATCCTCTCTGTTTTACTTTTACCTATGATCTTCGTACCTTTTCTTTCTTTTATTTTTTTCGCCTAAAACCACAGATTCTGTTCTATATTTTGCAATCCCTTGTGATACTTGGTCTCTCTAATGATTTGGAATCATTTCTTTTGGTTGCTGTAACAATTGCACTAACTTCACTTGCCTTAAGTTGTTGCCTTCTCATATACTGCCATTTCCTTATAAGTGTAAGACTAAGCTCAACAAATGATTCTTAATTTCAGATTGTGATTTCAAGATTGATGAACAAGGGTTTTGCACTGCGTTTTTATCATCGTTTTTTCTTTTATATGAAATGTTGGTTTTAACAACACACTGCAAAAAAATTTCCCCCCTTCTTTTAATTGCTGCGTGAATAACAGTTTTGAACAATGCTCACTGCTGAAATGAAAAGAAAAAAATGAATGAAGCATTATGGGTTTCGTGAGCTTGCTTAATCAATGAACGTAGAAAATTCAATTTGTGCTCATGAATATTTTAATTTGAGAGAGATTATAATTATGAACTATTTTCTCTTGCAACCTCTTACTAACTATTTTTGTTATCGATCAAAATTAAATCAATTATTACAAAATAGCATCAGATGAGAGTAGCGGATTTAATTTTGATCCAATGATAACAAAAACAGTTATAAGAGATTGCAAGGGAAAATAGATTCTATCTCATTTTTGTTTTGGTGTGACAAAGTTTAGAGTAGGTGATGTTGTTCCATTCCAAGGTGAAAGTTATTAAACTTTGTAGTCAAGGGAAATCACCAAACGATAGTAGCTCAATTGGTGTCAGGGAGTTGAGCAGGTGGGGATAAGAGTATTTGTTTGATCTTTTCCAATACCATCTTTGGGAAAAGTTTAAAGTCTTAATCTTGGGATCCGCCCCGAATCGGACTAGTCGTGAAGCAATGAATCAATTGGAATATATCTAAAAAAAATAAAAAAACAATTTTTAGGGTGTAGCGAGAGTACCAAGTTCGGTATTCCCCTTTTCCTAAATTGGAAAATTTTCATCCCTTTTGTATCCATGACTTTATTTATATTTCCCTTCATGTCCTGATTTTTTTCTTATTTTTTAGCAATGATGTAGGTACATCTGCTAAACATAAAAAGCTCACGTAGTCAAGAAGTTTAATCTTACTAGTTGGGACATCCCTCATTAGCTTATTCATGAGAATTTAATTTAAACATTTCCAAATTCGTGTTCCTTTTATCAGTAATTGATTTTGTTGTTATATCTGAACCCGGGACCTATGTTCAGGTGTTTTCATTCTGTGATACTGGTGAATTAAACATACGCTGCTCAGTTCTCAGATTAAAGCATGGATCCAGAAGCTGCAAGAACTGCACGAGAATCTCTAGATCTTGCATTCCATATGTCAAATATACTCGACACAGGTCTAGATCGTCACACACTTTCTGTTCTTATTGCCCTTTGTGATCTTGGAGTCAATCCTGAAGCACTTGCTGCTGTTGTCAAGGAACTAAGGAAAGAGAAACCATCTTTGTCATCCTCGCCTCATGCAGCTCCATCTTCTTTTTCATAAATTGGTTTTTGATTGGATATCATTCTATCTATGCTTGCTCAAAGATTCATCCTGTTTTTCTGTGCTTGATTTGGTTTATTGAATTTCTTTATATGCTTTGCTATGGGTTTCGTTTGATATGTAGTGGCATTGTTTTAGTTCAAAATTGATGTGTGTATTGGAACATATATGCAATTAGAAATGCATGTTCAATGACACCAATATTTATCCATGAGTTGTTGATTTGGTGGGGATTCGGGTAGATCTCAAGATTTGATCTATCGAAAAGATAATGAGTTCGATGCCTAAGAGTCGCAACGGGGAGGGTGGAGAGGCTTGAATCCAAAACTGGATTAGTTGAATCTGTTAGAGCCTCGGACACCAGTTAACAGGGGTAAGATCTTCTTATACCGGTGTAAGAATAATAAATTTTATATTCAATCTTAACAGTTGATATCTGACGGTTATAATTTATTGAGAATAATAACTAATTAATGAGAATAACCCAATTAATTATGGTCGTTTGATGGACGGAAATCAAAGGTGAAGATTGAGTGTAAGATTTATTATTCTTACACTGATGTAAATTGATTATGTCCCCCATATATATATATGGGGAAAATATTTCTATAGCTACTTTAGATAAGGTTGTTTACAGCTACTCCTTTTTTAACTAAGTATGATCATACATAAAAATTGCATTTTCTTTCTTCGCCACGTCAGCCTACAGTGTCTGAGGAAAGAAAAAAAAGAACAGTTTTATTGTTATAACTATGTATGACCGGTGATACTTAGTTAAAAAGGGGTAGGTGTAGACAATATTATCTAAAATGGTTGTAGAAATATTTACCCATATATATATATATGATGGGGCTACTACATGTGTAAAAGCTTGTAATGGAATATCAAGTTATTTTCTTATCACGGTAGGTATACACCAAGGGTCGGCTCTAAGTCCTTATCTCTTTGCCTTAGTTATGGATGAACTAACAAAAGATATTCAAGAGTAAGTGCCATGGTGTATGTTTTTTGCAGACGATATTATGCTTATTGATGAGAGCAAGGAGGGTGTTAATAGAAAACTTGAATTGTGGAGAAGCACATTGGAATCCAAAGGATTCACATTAAGTCGAAGCAAAACTGAGTATCTGAAGTGTGAGTTTTCGCTGGTACGAGATGGGGACCAAGAGCCCGTGCATTTAAATGGTCAAGAAGTACCCAAAAAAGATGCTTTTAAATACTTGGGCTCCATTTTACAAAAAGGTGGAGAGATTGATGGGGATGTAAATCACAGAATCAAAGCAGGGTGGATGAAATGGCGCAGTGCATATGGGTTTTTATGTGACCGCAAAATTCCTCTTAAGTTAAAAGGAAAATTCTATCAAACGACAGTAAGACCGACAATGCTATATGGCGCGGAATGCTGGCCAGCACATAGGCAACATGGGCATAAGATGAGAGTAGCAAAGATGAGGATGTTAAGGTGGATGTGTGGTTACACAAGGATGGATAAGATAAGAAATGAAGATATTCGACGAAAGGTCGGAGTAGTACCAGTAGCCGAGAAGATGAGAGAACATAGATTGAGGTGGTTTGGGCACGTGATGAGAAGGCCCCTGGATGCTCCTGTAAGAACATAAGTTTGTTACCGAGAGCTCAATACAAAAAGAGGCAAAGGTAGGCCGAAACTTACTTGGGAGAAGGTGGTAAAACAAGATTTAATGGAGTGGGATATAGATTGGCAGATGGTATGTCTTAGAACGGAATGGAGAAAAGCTATAAGTATGGTGGAGGGTTAGACCCGTTGTTATTCCTATGTTCCAGATGGTCCTTTTTTAGTCTTTTTCCCCTTCATCTCCCCCACTTCTTCTTGTCCCTTTCTTTTTTTTTTTTTTTTTATTTATACACACACACACACACACACACACACACACACATATATATATATATTATTTTATTGTATTTTATTTTATTTTTTTTCAACCGTTTGTATCTTTCATGTGGGTTCATCTACCACCGACCCCAATTAATTTGGGATAAAGGTGATGTTAATGTTGATGTTGATATATATATATATATATATATATATATATATATATATATATATATATATATATATATAAAAGACACTGAAAATAAAAGACACCAATATTTCAGTGTGTATGCAAATGATCACTTGGCTATAAGTGCAGAGATATATTCATTCGCAGAACCAGATACTATAATGCTCAAAATAAAGAACAGTTGAGTTCCACGATTGAACTGAAAAGTTTATAAACATTTGACAGTGAATAAGACTGAAGTAGCAAGTTGGAGAAAATCAAGGATATGAAGCCGGGTGGTTATAATAGTTTGAAGTGAGTGCCAAACTTGTGTATTATCTTCTTTAAAAAGCCAAGGATTTTCCTTACCTAGGACCTTCGGGTCCTTTGTTTTTCTTTGGTCTCGGAATATATATAGAGGCTACACATACTACTGCAATGCGCAATAAGATTGTCCAAGAGTTCAAGCTTTGCATATGTGGCAAACGGCTACTAAGAAGAGCGAACAAAAAAAACCCTCGACTAACGGAATAATGGCCATGATTTGGACATTGGCTATATTTAAGGTTTATTTCCAGGCATATGCAATGCACCTCGCTTTATATATTGTTTTGGATCAGTCACAGCCCAATCTAATGGGCCGGTTACTAAGGCCTATTAAATGGTCACTCCTTTACATTTTCTTTTTTAATACAAAAAAAAAAAAAAAAAAACTTGAACTTATGTTAGTTTCATATGTTTATATTCTTAAAATGAGACTTTTATGTTCGCTCTTCTTAGTAGCCGTTTGCCATATATGAAAGTTCAAGTTATATAATAGTGGATATATTCTCAAAATAGAGGCAACACATACTACTAACATATGAAAGTTCAAGTTTAAATGTCTCATTTTTCTTAACCTATTACAAAAGGATTCATATGTTTTATAAAAGTGGAGAGAAACCTTACACTTTTTTTCTAGAATCTTTCATCATTAAAGAGGTAGGTAGCGTTGACGCTGTTGGTTTAGACATTGACTCATGCATCCATAAATGTAGTGCAGGCTTAACCACCAAGCATTAAATGGAGGAACAGACCCCAACAAATCTCTTCTTTCCGACTTTAATGTATCGGGTTCAACAACCAGGCACCTATGATGCACGGACACGGACACGGGACACGACACGCCGACACGTTAATTCTAAAAAATGTCATATTTTGATACGTTGGGACACGTTTTGATATTAAATAAAAATTTTAATATATATAATATAATTTATATTTAATACATATAAGAGTCCATAATAAGTCATATAACCAATCAAATATTTAAATTTCATAACATAAATATAAATATAAGTAATTTTTCGTATTTTGTTAATTTTCAATGTCAAATTTCATAACCGAAAAAAATTAATTTATAAATTATTTCTTTTATATTTAGTTAACAAAATAAAATTAAGATTTAAAAAAAAAAACGTGTCCGAGCGTGTCCAAAAATGTTGACCGTGTGTCCCCAAATATTGACCGCGTGTCGAAACGTGTCGGAGAGTTGACCGCGTGTCCCCAAATGTTGACCGTGTGTCGGACGCATGTCCTAGCGTGTCGGACACGTGTCCGACACGCAAATTTTAAAAAAAATTTGCGTGTCCGTGCATATAAGCCAGGCACCTTCACAACATTCTTTAAATTTTTTTGCTGGTACTGGCTTGGTCATCGTGTCAGACTAATTTAAGTTGATGTGTACTTTGACAAGTTCGAGTTGTTTATCCTCTATCACATACTGATCTAGTGATACCTTATGTCAATGTATTTAGTGTGGGAGTGAAAAGTCGAGTTCTTTGCCAGATGAATAGCATTTTGGTCATCACACTTCAACTCGAATTTGTCGTATTTATGACCGAATTCAAGTAGGAACTTCTTCATCCACATCATCTTCTTGCACGCTTCAGTCGCGGCTATGTACGCTGCCACAGTTGTTGAAAGTGCAACATATTTTTGCAATTTTAATTGTCAGGAGACATCTCTTCCTGCAAAAGTCATTAGACAACCCGTCGTCGACTTCCTCGAGTCGACATTTCCCCCTAAATTAGCATTCGTAAAGCCTTCTAGCATGGCCTTATCTTCTCTAAAGCGGAGGCAATAATTCTTTGTTCCTCTGAGATACTTGAAGACCTATTTGACATATTCCTTGTGCTCTTTGTCAGGGTTTGAAAGATATTGGCTTACCGTTCTAACAACATATGCCAAGTCGGGTTTTGTACACACCATTGCATACACCAAGCTTCCGACAACGGACTGATACGAGATCTTTAACATCTCATCGTTCTCTTCATCAAACCTCATACATTGTCTCTGACTCTATTTTAAGTGTCCGGCTAGGGGGTGCTCACTATCTTGGTTTTGTCCATGCTGAATCTCTTCAAAAATTTCTCAATGTATTTTTCTTAAGAGTTAAGATAGCCACATGAGCTTTCTTTAACGTTCTTTGATAATTTTAATTCCCAAAATTTGCTTTGTCGAGCCGAGATCCTTCATGGTGAAGGACGATCTCAACAACACATCCTCAACATATAAAAGTAAAAATAGAAAGTCTCCAGCCTCATACCTTTCAGCAAATACGTAGTGGTCGGCCTTCGTCTTCGTGAACTTGTGCTTGGTCTTGAAGGATTCAAATTTCTTGTACCACTACCGACGTGCTTGTTTTAAGTCGTACTAGCTCTTCAATCGGTACACCAAGTCTTCTTTTCTTGGAGCTCATAACCCTTCAGGTTGTTCCATATAAATTACTTCTTCGAGGTCACCATGACGGAATGCAGTCTTCACGTCTATTTGTTCAAATTTTAGCTCATTGACCCTGCCATAGCCAATATATTTCGGACCGAAGTCATCTTCACAATAAGAGAGAAAATTTCTTCAAAATCTATTCCTTTCTTCTGATAGTAGCCTTTCACCATAATTCTAGCTTTGTATCTCGACCTTTGGTTGTTCTCTTCTTGCTTAAGTTTGAACACCCAATTATTTTCAGAGCTCGTCTTCCTTGAGGAAGCTCGGTCAACTCATAAGTCTGACTTTCATGTAAGAATTTCATCTTGTCCTACATTACTTTCTCCCATTCTTTCTTCTGGGAGCTCGTCATGGCCTTATTAAATTTCTCGGGTTCTCCATCATCAGCAATAATTGTGGATTCAT